CATGCAGAATTAAAGATTTGGTGAAAGACAGGAATGGCTTGGCGTGTTTGGGTGCTACAATGATAAACAGCACTTACTTACATCTGCATCTCATGTGTTTGAAGGGTTTCATAAAGTTACAAGTACAACAATGGAACGGTTACGGTTTTAAAAACTTTGGACACTTCCTCTACATTATGACCGTTTTGTTATGATTGTATCGATCTGAAATCAGAACTAAATATACAAAAAGAAACACAACAGGCAATAATTGTAAAGTTCTCTTTTAATGTTGGTTATATGTATTCTTGTAATATACATTGAATCACTTTCATTAAATGGGCTGGGATGCAATGCATTAAGACAGTTTAAATAGTTTACTTTCATCCTATTGTTCCTCCCTTGATGCTGATGAATTCAGGAACAGCTCAACATATCTCTTCACTAAACGGCAGGGGAAAAAACAAAGCCAGGTTAGTCATCATGTTTGTATTTAACATTTTGGACCACATTTGGGTTATTTCAGATGAACACACATATTGCTTACTTATATACTCTCGGTCTTTGGACATGGCTAAAACGGCATCTTGATGTGTTCTGAAGTAGGCATCTGCCTCACCGGTGGGTCGTCCGTCAGGGCCGTACTCTACAAGAACCTTCACCAGTCTGATAGGAACGAAAAACTAGAACAGAAATTACACCTCAGTCATTTGGTGTAGATTATACACTGGGCAAGATCAATTAAGGTCTTAAGGAGTTATTGACACAAACAATCAAAAATAATGCTGTATATTAAATAGAATAAATTGAATATAAAACTTTACCTTGACAATGTCTTCTCCTGTGGCATCATATGGCAGACCTCTCATGTGAATGAAGTTGTGTGTTGTTGATATAGAGCTACTGTTTGCTGTCCACAAAAATACAGATGTTTCGGACTGCACACAGTATACAACATTTGTATTAAGCCTGGTTGTAAAGGGACACTGTAATAAACACCTGCTTTCATTGTGCGTGGCGTGTCCTCAGCTCCTGGTGTGAAAGATGACGTCTCATTTCGCCTTCTTCCATACTGGATTTGGATCTCACTTTTCCTGCTGGGGAAAATCTCAATATACCTGCATATGAGGACAAAACAGCCCTTTGTGAACACGGATCTGAAATGTTAAAGAACATCTTTGATTTTAAATCTTTTGGTATTGAACAGAGGCAAGGCACCCCAGGTGATGTAACTAAAATATAACTAATAGATACCACCATACTTCCCTAGAAGATTGACTTACATTAAGAATTGCAAACACATTTGTATTATAGGTTTCTGAAATAGTATGTTTAAATATGCAAATGATCCATTATCTAATTATTTATACAATGTTGAATGTATAAAATCAGGCAAATGATATATGAACAAACGCCTCAGTAAAAAGCTTCAGAATATAATGTAATATAAATGCTTTAAAGATGTGTAACGTAATTGAAATATATATATATATATAATATATATATATATATACGCAAATAGATGAACTGCAATAAAATAAGCACAAAATATTTAGTCTGAAACCACACATTATGAAAACTCAAAATCNTCAAAGAAGTGCATGAAAAAAATAACCTAAAAACACATTTATGTTCCTGAAAAACATTTCTTTTGTGTCAAGTATTACTTGATGAAATACCAACCTGTTTCCCATGACTTCTCTGTCTTTCTTTAGGGCCTCTTCAGCCACTTCCTTGGTGGCGAACTGCACGAAGGCATCGCCTGAGTTTCTTCCTCTCCTGTCCAGGACTATTGTAACTCCATCTTCCACAATCTCCAACTCTGTTTTGAGAATATTAAAGCACTCAAATGAAGCATATGGCTTTTATCAGTGCAATGACATTCAAATGTCAAATTTTTAAGGATCTCACCAGAGAAAAACTGAACGATGTCTTTCTCAGAGCAGCTGAAGGGAAGCCCTCTGAGTCGCACCACTCCATCTGTCTCTGTAAACTGCTGTGTAGCCTTTAATATGGCTTCAGCATCTTTGTTTGTTACCTCATACACTGAAACACATAACATCACTAAATATGAGCACTGTGAACAATCTGGCATGTGATAAACACAAAGAATACTGCTTACCTTCAACAAAGCGTTGTCCCAGGTAATGTTTGTGCAGATCCAATGCTTTGCAAACATCCTCCTCGTGCTCCAGCTCAATAAACGCCTGTCCCATCGATTTGCCGTTCCTGTTCTGAATTATATGGATTCCCTCAACTCCACCTCGGATCCTACAATCTACAAAAATCAAATATGTAAATAAAATGAAATGTGCACTTCACATCATGAGTAGGTCATATCTAAACATCTTCAAGAGCTGGAAATCCAAATATATCGATGCAACCCTATAAAGCCTACTGTATCGTATTTGATGCATTCATTTCTATTATCGACATTATCAAAATTTTGCAGAAAAACCTGGTACATGCTTTCTGCCACCGATTAAAAGTCCTTACTTTTTAATCAAATAAAAGGCCTTTTAGTATAATTCTAAAAACACCCACCTTTAGGTTGTGGTACATGTATTTCTGCTAAAATCTTTAATGATGTTTATGAAGTATATATAAAAATAACTTTTATAACGTTATAAATATTTCAAGATTAACATTTTCTTAGCTTAATTGACTGATTATTCATACATGATTTTTTTGAAAAATCATATTCAAATGTGACAAACAGAGGCTATTGAAAATTGTGCATTGCATTATATGTTTTGCTATGGAGCTCTGATCGTAAAACTAAGTGTTCACATGCATCTTACTTAGACATATTCAGTGATACAGAATAACAACTGATATTACATGCACTTTATCTAATAATCCACTAAAGTGTACCATTATACAATTTTTTATACATATTTTTGCTCAATTTGGAAATCTAAATAAAACAGCTGTTTTTTCCCCCTCCTTGAGTGTAAGCTTCATATCCTACTATATCATGGGCCATACAAGTATGGTGGTGTATCAAATATGATACAAAAAAAACATTAAGTATATATGCAAAAACATTTTTTTTATATTTTATCTAAAGGTTCAATAAACTGTTCATTTCAAACAGTACGTTTTTTTCTGATTATTATTTCATGTTTTACATTTTAATATATCTTG